GTTTTAAAATATCGGCATATCGGATATCGGCCAAAATCCCAATATCGTGCATCCCTAGTATTTTCAAGTCTACCTGAAGAAAAAGGACCAAAAATATGTTATCAATTGGAAATAATACTGTGACATCCCTTCTAGCAAGTGTGCATAAAAAAAAAAAAAGGTCAGACTTTTAAATCCTGCAGAGGTGGAGGGGAGAAAAAACACATTTAGCAGCTTTAAAAAAATGCAATAATTCCCTATTAACCATTGCATTTAAAGATGCACTAAGCTGGCTTATTATGATTTCCTAGGTTCTATCTAAACGTATTACCTGGAACTTTTTTAAGAACCATAACACACAGAAAAAAAAAAAACAAAAAAACATAAAATGATGGCATTTGTACCAGTAGTTTTTAATTTCTAACATCTAACAGTTACTTAATGTTTTAGATTAGATGTAGAACGGATTACTACATCTAATCTAAGTGTTTCGAAGAACATGCTGTTTAATGGCATTAATAAATTGAATAAAGTGGGGGACATTTTAGATTTTATGAGCTGAATAAGCAGAAGTAGAAGTGTTTTTGGGAGTTGTTTTTTTTCGTTGTTCTTCAAATTTCGACCAGTTAGAGATAATAAACCCAGGATGTGGCAGATTGATTAGATGCATTACATCTATTTACTAGTGTTGCACCGATACCAGTATCGGGCGGTGCCCCTATCCAGCACTAAAATGGTGGTATCGGTATTAGCGAGTACCAACAAATAGGGATCCAAACCATTTTGAGAGCCAAAAGTTTATTCAGCTATTGTCACCCATTCCAGGTAGGCAAAACAAAGTTCTTCTGGATTCACTTTGTATTAGTCTTTATCCTACTTCACAAAGGTAGGCAGCAGACAAAGCCATGATGGCAATTATTTTTCCATCCAAGTAGTATGCAGTTCTTCATATATGCACACATACATCAATTTCAAACAGAAGGTATTGGTATTGGGGCCAAAACATGGTATCAGTGCAACATTCATCACAATACCGTACTTTAAGTTTTGGCCATACTGTCCGTCCCGATGTGGAACTAAAAACACAACCTATCAGCGCATCACTAAGGAAAGATCCTGGTTAAATCCTGCATTCAGTCTGGAAACAATTTGTAACCCGACATTAAGACATTTTTAAGATTATTGCTCAAACATTCAAAAAACAAATACAAAAAGACAAAACAAAAAAATAATATAACCCAGGTTAAAAGAAGATTTAACTAATGAAGTGAAAAAGGGCAATCTAAACCAGAAACATTACAAAAGGGTACCAGACTCAATTCATGACCAAATCAAATGAACCAAATCAACTATGAAAATATTGCAAAAAATATATATATATATATATATTATTGTGATAATAAAAAAAGATTTCAAAAAAACTCCTGGTAAGTGTAACTGTACAGCAGTGACTGCTTACAGTATCAATCATAGTCCCAAAATAGCAAATAGTACTCTTAACAAAAAAAATTAACTTTTAAATTTGGTTTCTTCAGGATATCAGTTACATAATAAGTATAATTTATATCACCAAACATCTCATAATAACTGCATTTAATAATTTGTAAATATCTATCGGCCAATACTGCACAGCCATATCGGTATCGGTATCGGGTATGGCATCGGTGCAACACTGATATTTAATAGCAATCCTATGAACTGTTATGGAAAGCTCAGTTCAGATAAAAACAGAACATTGGGGCTTCATGACTGCAGCTTTCCAGCTCTGTATGTTGACACAGCAGCAAGACTGTAGTTACCCTGGGGGGTAGATCCTCATAGTGCAGCAGCCTCACCAGGATGTTCACCACAGCTGTATATGTGTGTGTGTGTGTGTGTGTTGGGGGGAGTTTTAATTCCAGCTATGAACCAAACCCCTAGTGTTTAAGTTCAATAGCCCGGAAGTGGAATGACCTCTTTAATTGATCACTTTTCCATGTTACTGGGACACAGGCAGGCGGTTAGAGGAGGGGGCGCTTTAGAGACACTGCGGCTCCATCTCTATGCTGAGGACCACAGAAAGAAGGCGGGTGTGACCCAGAAATGGAGCACATACCTTCAGCGACGAGCTCCTCCACGGTGACCTGATACCGGCCCACTGCGAACACTTTCCCGAAGTAGCTGCTGACCCCCGAGCTGGAGCTGGAACCGGACGGCCCTCCGAGTCCTCCGCTCTCGGACTTTTGCATTCTGGAAAACTTCTTCATCCTTCACTTTTCCTCTCGGGCCACGACCTCTAATCTGTGACTAAACCACACAGTCCTCGTTCAACTGACGTCCCCTATCTCTTTATCTGGACTCTGTTCTCCTGCATGCTCCGCGTGCGGGACCCCGCAGTTAATATAAAGCCGTCATATCATGATGGCGGTGGAGGGGGGGCGTCCAACGACTCCTGACAGCAAACCTGGGTTCGTTAGCTGGCTAGCATACAGGCAGTGGGGACGTTCCGCCAGCACATAGACAAAAAAAGGAAGACACGAAGAACAAAGCAGCTGTCTGTGGGTGGAGAACACCTCCTCCAGGAAATTTACCCAGTCCTATACAATCCGACCGCGGCGTATTTTGCTCCACACGTTCAGCCGAGACAGTTAGCTGGTTAGCCGAAGCGCTGCAAAAGATGAGCCACCCCGAGAAAAAAAAAAAAAAAACTGGAGGAGTCAGAGATAGTAGTTATCGGGAAATGACCGTTTCATTAGATAAAATCCCCTCTTCCCACCTATTCTTGTTTTCTGCTCGTTTCTTTTAGTTTCGCCAACATTAAACTTCCCGTGATTTGCCCCAATGGCAGGCTTCAAAATAAGTGGGTGGTTTGTTATTTACCCAATGAGTGTGACAACCAAACCTAACGTGGCCCCGCCCACTTGTATTGTTATGATTGGTGTAAATGGAGATGGTATGGAGGCCCGTTGATGCATTTAGAAAGGGGCTTTAATGAATGAATGAGGCGGAATATATATATATATATATATATATATATATATATATATATATGGAACATTTATATAGTTTTTACTATTTTTCAGAGCTGCACTTTAAAAATGAAATTGTCCAGAGAGCTATTCTAAACGAAATTTCTTTTTGTTTTAAACTTGTGTTAACAGAATGACAAATAAATCTGTCTAAGTTATCAAAAAGTCAGCAACCCATTTATCCAGTTGCATTTTCCAAGTCAGGTTCCTAACATATTACAACATTGGGAGTATACGATGTGGCTTGTGTAGATCCAAAAACTGAAAAACAAGTAAATCCATCATTTGCTTCAGGACTTTATTCTCTGTGATCCTATGGTGCTTTGGTCCCCAAATCCCCCTTTTTTCCCCTTTTTTGCTGGATCCACCTTTGTTTACAAGAAAGTATTTGCATCCCCCCAATCTCTAACCCACCCCAACCTTTGCAATAATTGAACAAAGCAAAATATTCAGCAGGAAATTGAATATTGCTATACAATAAACAACAATCTCCTTTAAAAGTCTAATCTTCCACATTTTAAAGAGCAATTATTTTAGGTTTAATTCAATTGTGGTTTTAATATATTCAAACTGGGTAATTCATTCAATTCATTTCAACCCATCCCCCAGTTTGCAGTTACTGAACACTTTCACCACGGTGGAGCAAAATAGAGAACAGTATTTTTTAATTTAATTACTTCTCGACCATACTTGGCAGCAGTACTGGTTCAAAAATGAAACAACCTTAATAAACAACCTTAAATCAGAGCAAGGATGTACACCCAGGACATATTGTCCTCCAAGGTAATATGTTTGGGGGTGGGAATACAGATTGGTATCTTGCTTTAAGAATACTAACCATTTTCTCCTTGTTTAACTTTTAATTGAAAAAATTTGTTTTTTTTAAAACTTTCTTTTAATTGTCCTGCATTTATTTATAAACTTAACAGAATTCTATTTTGATTAAGTTTATTTTCTTGTCCAGTTTTTCTTTGTTCCACTCTTTTGATTTCCGTTCAGTTTGAAAATTGCTAATTACAAAAAAATTGATTGTAAAGTGTGATTTTTTTTTTCCTTTCCGCTATATCTAATTTAAGGATTTTTTTTTCTGGTAGCAATGGTCTTCCATATAGGCACCCCAGACAATACTCATCTGTGACTAGGCTGCAAAAGTGACATAAGCTGTTTGGTTGAAGGAGGAGAGCAGAAAACAGGCTGGGAAAAAATGCAGTGTACAAGGAAATTAACCACAGGCGACTGTGAAGTGATGAAACATCCTGTTAATTTGATCTTTCTGCTCCGTCTTACAACTCCAAACTGCATCCAGAATATGTCTCTTTTTAAGGTTTTCTGACTTCTGAGGTTTGCTGTTAGCACAAAGTGTTTAAAGATTGCCCTCCTGTGGAACAAATGATGCAGTTTGTTTTTTTTAGCAGATACTGCCAATGAGGAAGTATCATCACTGAAGCACCGCCTCTGAACAAAGTATGAATATGGGACAAATTTTTATAAATTCGTCGATTTCACCTCCTTACAGGCTGATCTATAACAAACTGAAAGTCATCTGTACTGTTAGGGGCTGTGGGAAGCAGAAAAACTTTACAGCTTTGATTAAGCGAGTATTATTATCAAAAGTAGGTCAGTGGTTATGGGGAAGCACATGGCTAATATGGGGATTACATAAGATATGAAGAGGAGTGTAGTTTGGTCACATGACTGCATTAACCCCCATGTCTGGACGCATCCTGTTTCTGCAGGGTGGGGTGGAGGGGGATCTTCCCTTTTACAGTAGGTTCAAGTTCTGGGATTATCTGTAAAGTGTATGCTGCCTCCTGTTGGCCTGTTCTGTGACTCCCAGTGAAATATTTTCCACCTAAACAACCAACATCTCACATCTTTAAAATAAAAAGCAGAAGCATTGAAGCATAATGGATATATTTGTTTACAAATAATAATAAAAAAGGCCTCTGCAGTTACAGAGTTAAGCCCTCCTGTTTTCAGGACTAAAACCGTTGTGGCCGGCCAATAGAGGGCGTGAGGGCGCCGCCCCACCCACCCAATGACCTTGATTAAGAAGACATAAAAAAAGAAAATATTTAGAAATATAGTTAATATAATATAATTTTTGGAAGAGCAAGACAAATAGTTGTCATCTGATTACTGACATATTTCCACACTGGGGCGCAAAAATACTTGCCCATAGACCAGGCATACCCGAAGTGGGTCCTCGAAAGCCCCTGTGCTGCAGGCTTTGGAGGTTTCTCTGCTTTAGCACAGCTGATTCTGATGATTGCAGTTCAGCTATCAATGAAAATCAACTTTGCTGTTGCAGGGAAATTTGCAGGACAGCGGCCCTTCAGGGCCCACTTTGGGCATGCCTGCATAGACTATTGTTAAAAGTTGTACATGTGCAGTAGCTCCTCTTCAATGGAAAAGTTAGGACCCTCCGGGGCGCAGCTCTCCTGCGCACAGAGCTGACAGCAACTTTATTTTACTTTGGCGTATCTGGTGTTTCCTCCTTGATGACCCCATTTAATCTACTTCATCTCTGCTGTCTTTGCAGAATGAGCTTCTCCACACAAGCTCTGCAGCACGGAAACAAACGCAAGGGACATTGGCTAAAATAAGCCACTACTCACTCTTAATCTTTGACTTAAATTTTCCTTAAAATGTAAGGATTATGGGGCTTGTTTTACAAGCCGAATTTTAGTTAAAGGTTCATACTATTAACTAATGAAAAAGTTCTAATGATTTAGTTGGTTTTATTTAATTTAGAACTGTTTATGGGATCTGTTCAAACAGCAGCTTGTTTTGACTTTGCTTGAGCAAGTTTATAAGCAATTAATTCCAAACTATTTGATGAGGATTTAAATGAACTTAATGAATGATAAATTAATGAAAAAAGTTTGAGCTGATATTTTTGAACTTAATACATTTTTCTTATATCTGAACAAAAATGTTTTCAAATAAATGATTTTGATAAGGTAGCGATTATTTTCCGAATGGGATCAGATCACGTTTCTTTTTTAGTGATTCAGCTTGACATTTATCTTTTTGTAAACTGACAAACATTTTAAATGGTTGGCAGGTAAGTAGATAATGGTTTCATAAATGAATGAAATGCTCATTTTTGTGTGACCATTTTAGGTCAGCTTTTATTCCTCCCTGGAATGAAAGGAAGAAAATGAACTCATATGGCGAGCTACCCTCTGCTACCTGTGTGGTACGAGAAATTGACTTGGACAGAAATAACTTTTTTATTGTCTCATTATTTCAGGATTATATTTATTTATTTATTTGCAGGAGGGGTCTCAATTTAAGGATCTTTTGGACTTGTGAAGGACTGAAAGCATAAAACCTTTAAATTAATGGTCATTGCTCATTATTTTATGTTGTCCTCCTCAGCCTGTTAAAATTATACTAATACATATTTTCAATTTAAAACATTATATTTGGTGTTGGTCTTCAATCACCTACCAGGCCCTCCTGATGCTACTAGTTGTTAATAACATTGTGAATGTGCGCTTTTCAGCTATTCTGCTTCCCTGCCTCATTTTTCAAACGCAGATTTACATAGATTAAGACAGGTTTGACTGATTTAAAGCACTGTTTATACAATTTTACAATGTTGTTTTTTTGTTGTTTGCATTCATGTAAATATACTGTACTGGTGTGATACCTTAGCATACCTTTGATTGGTTTTTGGTATACATCTACAGTATTTTGAAGTAATAGCCCCCCCCTGGTGTAAACTCCACCAGCAACCATTTCTAAGGTTTTTCTTTCTACTGTACAGATGGATCCAAAAGTCTGTGCTGCCATGCAGACAAAGAAGATTCTGAGGGTATATGTAGGAGAAACAGGCTCACAGAGGAGATGTCCACTCCAGAACCGCTGGGATTGTTTGATCATGTGCATTTTTTATTTAAGTGGAGAGGGTGGGTGTTTTAAAATATTTGGCGGTAATCCTCCACAATACCTTCAAGCCAACATGTTTTTTTTATGTTAATCCAAAACTATTCATACTGATTATCCAACATTGTATGCATTGTGGGAGTTTTATTGTTTCTCTACACAGCTCCGACATCAAACACAGATCATGGTATACCAACAGTGCAATCAAACTGTCTTATGTAACTATGTCTGTCCTATTATAACGAAAGTATGTGGGTTTTTACCAGAGGATGTGAGAAATGCAGAACGAAAGAGATGAAACTGAGATCAACCAACAACACAAGAACCTTTATTTAGTCTAAATATTTGGTAATTAAGTGGGAAAATTTCCTAAGCCTATACAACAACAGTGAACAAAAGTGTTTTGTTTTATGAAGTGAGTTAATAAATTACAAAGAGGACATGGAAACCTTAATATACTCTGGAAACATTCTACATCAGATACAATTCTACAGAATATAAATAACTAGTTAACTAATAAACACTTCTCGCTGACTTCTGAGGCATAAACAATGTAAATGCTGTCTACAGACTGTAGGCAAATGCACAATAAATAAAAGTGTGAAATAAAACACAATCCATACAGAATGATATGCAAACACCTACTTAAATATTTTAAAACAAAACTAGAGAGGGGTATCCCAGTCTTCAAATTCTTGGCTGTTTTGCTTCAGAAGCTTGTCCCAGTAGTAATCCATTAAAGCACTGGGTATGAACATATCATCGTCCATCAAATGTACAACTTTTATATTTCTCAACAGTTGCAGTTGGCTCACTGGTTCTGCAGGAAATCGAAAAGATAAAATCTCTATGCATAATGTTACAACACAAGTCAGGTAGGCAAAAAGCATATATATATATATATATATATTTATTTATTTTTTTTTCTTTTCTTATTTATTAATACAAATATATAAAAAATCTGGCTTAATTTGGACTTCATCTGGAACTAAAGGCCTGATATAGAGATATAGACACTTGGACAAAATGTTGGTACCCCTCATTTAATTTAGAAAAAAACAAACAATGTTTACAGAAATAAATGAATCTAAAAAGGTAATAATTATTAAAATTATTATGAAAATTAATAAATGAAAGCCAGACACTGCTTTTCAACCACGCTTCAACAGAATGACTTTAAAAAATAAACTCATGAAACAGATCTGGACAAAAATGATGGTACCCCTAGAAAAGACTGAAAATAGTGTGACCAAAGGGACATTAAATCAAGGCGTGTCCACTAATTATATTACAACATATTACAATTTAATAATCAGTTTGTTACAACCTGCTTGTTGCACGGAGTTTGCTGCACTTTTTCCTCTCTCCCTCTCCCCTCCTGTCCTTTGACAGCTTAAGACACACCTTTATTACACCCTTTCATGACATCCACTTAAATGATTTGTCCGCTATTTAAGGTGGTTCCTGACTCTACTTTGAAAAATGTCAGTTTTCCAGTGACAGAAACGTATCTGCCACAATATCTTCTGTATTACAGCTATTAATACAGAAACTTGAAAGTACATCCCAGGCTGTTCAGTCCCTTGTACTGATATTCTGATCCCTCCGTTTTGGATTGTTTTTATCTCTCGCTGATCAGAAAAAAGAAAAAGCTGACATGTAACCGAGGACTTTTGGGAAGCCTGTGATGTCACGGATTCAAATATTTGAAATATGAAAAATTTTAAATGAAGCAAAATTTATCACCTGTGTCCGTTTACATAAAATGAATTTAAATATATTTGACCAATGAAACTATAAAAACCTGATTCTGCATCTGTTCAAGATTCCCATCATCTGATCTGTAAGTCTATTTCATGTATGTTTTGTTTCTGATGTTGTGATTATATTGGTGCAATGTAGAACTTAAATAATTGTGTATGGGATTTTATTCATTTCCTTTTGCTGCGGGGCAAACATGGACATCTATTTTGTGGGGAAGGGACTTTCTGTTTATTTTTGGTCTGCCATTTATCAAATACAAGAAACATTTTCTGTTGTTGGCCTTATGCGAAAAAAAAAAAATATATATATATATATATATATCTCATCAAATAGGAGGAGCTTCAGCTGCGTGACGCTGAAACCACCGAACATCAGTGGCTTTTTCTTTCACTTAAAGTGGGGTACCAGCAATTCTGTCTGTGTGTGTTTTTTCTCTGATTAATGAAGACTGTTTTTATATGCTCAGACTTTACCTAAGACACATTCAATTTGGAAGGTGATTTTAATACATTAGCTAAAAAAAACACTCTTCAACAAATTGATGTTTGCTAATTCTGTATCTGTTTTAGTCCATCCAATCCAATCCAAACAGTTTTCATCGTGTTCAGATAAACAAGCAACACACCTGGACTCAGCTCCTGTTGAGTAGAACCGTCTCTGTCGTGTCCAGCACCATCCTGAAAGTTGGATCATCGAGGGTTTTTGTTTAACATTCAGGTTTAGAAAGTATGAAGACAAAGCTTTGTTTAGTTTAACTAATAACAAGGGTAGAATCTGCATAAATTAGAGAGACTGATAAACACGTCATTTAAGTCACAAACTGAGCCTTTCTCTATTAATTGAATTCTTTCTCTATTGAATTCTGACCAAATAGATGATGTGAAAGGAGACATACATCTCTATATATCACTACATATCTATATATATATATATCGGTATAAGCCAATGTTTAACATTTATGAAGCATGGCGGTATCAGTCACTCATGTAAATCTGGACTGATACTAAATTCAATGTTCATTACATTCTTGTGGCTGTTAGTGTATCTGCATGAGGAAGGGAGGAGGTTGGCCATGTTGTATTAAATTGGTTATAGGTCAGTAATGAGGCAGTGAAGGATTCTGGGTGTTAAATAGGATAAGAGAGCCAATGTCATTAATGGTCTTTTTCTTAGTGTCAAAATGGTAAGAAAATGTTGCCAGTAAATATCAGTTATCACACAGCAACATTAGTATCGGATATCCACCTAGATTCCCTTATCAGGGCATCCCCATTTGCCAATGTAGAGAATAATATGGTAGTCCTCCCAGAGTGCTTTCTTCTCCTACGCTCTGGACAATGTGCCTTACAGATCTTTATTTATTGAGCGCACCTTTCAGCTTGAGACTTAACAAACACAGCATTGTTCCGTTATGCATTAATGTACAGGACTCTGTATGTAAATCTTTGACAACAGAATATTTGCTTTCTCTTATTTAAGCTTTTCTTTTAGAAAATCAAGTTAGATTTTTTTTTTAAGAGATAAAAGGTTATCCAAACCAACCTGCTTCTTTGTTAAACAGTATTTGCACTCTAACACTGTTAATCTGCTGATAAAAAGTATTAGAAAAGGAAAATATGTAAATGTTCTCACATGAGTATTTCCTCCACCTTCATCGCCCACTCCTCTTTGATTAAAGTTTGTCACAGTCCTATGCTTAGATCCTTCAAGAAAAAAAAAGGTTTTAGGATTTTCAAGCCCCCACCAAATGTTTCAATGCAGCCATTTTCCCCCATTTTTCTCACCTGGTTCTCCACATGGTGCTGACCCTTTGCAAGGCTTACCCTGCCCCTCAGAAGATGTTTGAAACTTCCTGAGCAGGTCTTTCATGCCACCCTCCTCAGCAATGTCTGAAGCACTAAGATTCCCATCAGAGGGGTTTGATCCATTTTCAAGCAGAAGTTTTACAACCTAAAAAAACAGATAAACACGTCAAACATCCTTTTAGAAAAGCTCTAATGCATAGAGTCTTATTTGTGCATTTACGATAATTAACTCAGCAGAGAGCCTGTGTATCAATTAGAATATACCATAACAAGGCAATGCTTCAGAAATCACAGTGAAACACATCTAACAACTATATAGAGAATTTCTTTTTATCAGCCTTACAAAGGAGATCTTGTGGTTAGCCCTCCATAATGATATATATATATATAAAAGAAAATAGGTTTCCTGGCATATGCAGTGCAACTACTAAAGGGTGCATACATTAATGAAAAATGTCCTATTTTTATTATGTGAAAACAAAGTGAAAAAAAATTAAAACATCTTTCAAACTTCATTTGACAAATGTACAATCATATGAAAAAGTTTGGGCACCCCTATTAATCTTAATTATTTTTATTTCAAAATATTTGAGTGTTTCCAACAGCTATTTCAGTTAGATATACAGTATCTAATAACTGATGGACACAGTAATATTTCAGTATTACTAGAGGGTAGCCCAGCTTGTAGCATTGATAGTATCAAGCACTGTATATTGATTGGCCCGAGGAACCATTTAAATTAATTCATATGCATATGCAATAAATATGGTAAAAAAAAAAAATACAAAGGAAGAATAAAACAGACAAAAATATTATAACATGCCTTAAATAAATACTTTAAAAAATAAGTAATTAATAAAGAAAGACGTTATCATGCCAGATCTGATGTTTGGCCCCTTTTTATTTCATTCTTATGAATTTCTGCTTTATTTATGTCAGATGTTTTCCAATTTCTAATTAAGTTATACATGCCTGCTCTAAGTAATACACAAGTAAAGAGATTTTATTATATTCTGTTATGGTTGTAACAGAATAGAATATGTGTAAAAACGCCCAAGCTGCATCAGTTCAAATATGACTCAAAGTTGTTTTTATTTTTCTCGAAAATAAGTCTTTTTTTGAACAGCATTAATAAAGTTATGCTTGCTTGTTGTGGCTGCTTTGTCATGCTACCGGGCGACCCACCGGACGGTTTACAAAACCCACTGGGTGGGTATGTTGGGTTTTGAGAGGTTAATTTTAGATCCTAAAGGTCTATTTTGTAGTTTTCTCCATCACCTGATAGTGCCCAGCAGAAACAGCATTAAGCAGCGGTGTCACACCATCACAGGACTTGGCGTTGACGTTGGCCCCGGCCCTCAGCAGCTCTTCGACCACAGACTTGTCTGCAGCAGCAGAGGCATCATGCAGAGCGGTCCATCCTGACAAATCGAGAGAAGAAATACCAACTGAACAATAAAGGAGAGATTCAGATGGAACGGATTAAAATGTTAGGACTGCCTAAAACCTGCATAATCCTCAATGTTGACGCCGACTCCAGCCTTTAGGAGCATCCTGACTTGAGCCATATCACTTTTCTGGCACGCCTTGTGGAGAAGAGTCTCTCCCATGCTATTTCTCTTGTAAAGCTGACTTTTTTTTGGAACGTTTGCTTCAACAAATAAAAAGAACCAAACAATTAAAATTCTCCAAGATAATCCTGGTAAACATGGAGCTGTATGGGTTTTCCAGCTCACCTGACAGCGAAGAGGAAGCGGCACAGCCTGCAGTAGGCGCTTGGCCTCTGCTGATCTCCGGTTTGTTTCTTTTCTGCCGGTTCAGCTCCAGCTTCTTTCTAATCTCTGTGTTTGCAGCATGCAAACCTGAATTAGTCACAGCCATGTCCTCAGCAGCTGCTCTGCTTTGGGGGGCAGGAAGATCCTGCAGCAAACTGACAGAATCCTGGTCTGAAAGCAACGTCTCTTCATCCATCTCAGCCTCATTAGCAGGGTTGTTTACCTCTGCAGTGTTACTAAAAGCAGACAAACAGAAGGCACAGTCTACGATCACAAGCTCATGTAGCTACCTTCTAAAAGTCTATTAACCCTGGAGTCTTTCTGTAAATTAAACTGCGATGTGTGCCTCAGGAAATGCCACAGATATGCTTTGGACTTCAACTTTCAAAGGTTGCCAAAGAGCCGTTAAAGCTCTCTGACATCTGAATAATAAAGCATATTACTGGAAAGTATGAGTACAAATTAAAGGGGTCATAGAATGATTCTATAGGGTATTTAGTGCTGGTCCTTAAGGTCTCTGAATAGGGTGTGTAACATTGGTTGGGCTGAAAATAGCATATTTGCTTATCTATGAGCCTAAATGTAAATGTACATATTCATTCCCCAGAGGGAAATAATTGAACCTTTTTTGGAATTCGGATAAACAGAAAATGAAAACCTAAAATGTACTGTCTCTAAGATTTTAACTGTCACATGACATCCAAAGGAAAATGGAAGTGATCATAGTATAGATTATAGTCACAGCTGAAGCTTTAGGCTACAGTTTTATTAAACAAAATTATAATATAATGAAATTAAATCTACCCTTTGATGTTCATAATATAATTCTTTGTTCCAGTAGAATTCCCATCTGCACTGTTGTGATCTGTCAGTAGAGATTCCTGCTGGTTAAATGGAGCACCTCTTCCTTGATGATTCAAGGACTGAGAAGAAATGTTAGCCTTTGCTGTAATGTAAGCTTTTTCCAACTCCAGTTGATTCTGGAGGAGATTCACCAATTTCCTCTGATTTGAAGCCAAGGCGAGGACGTTACTTTTCAGCACTCGTTCGTGAAAGTAAACAGGCACAGTCCTGGAGTGAAGAAATAGCATAATTATTACAAAGGGTAAAAGTGCGACTAGAACAGTAAAATTGTTAAAAATATGCATTATAGCAAATGGGAGAATATGAAAAAATATATTCTGAGATGGATTAAGGTTATTTATCCAATCTAAAATAACATTTTGACTGAAGGTGGACATTAAGAGGTGTTTGTGGTGGGCTGTTAATCCAACACAAAAACAAGACATTTTGGAAATATTGGCATTCCACGCGAGCAGCCTGGGAGCATTGGCAGAAAACGTGTTTCCACTACAGATCAACAATTTAAAATAAATCGCTCTACTTGAACTTCGAAATGCTGGTAAAACATCCCCCAAAACTGTTACTTGGTTGATGCTGTGCACTTATTCTAACATTGTGCACATCAGATGGTTCTGGAAGAGGCACCTCTTCTGTCTGCTGCTTTGAATGCCAAGTACAGAAGAAGGGAAACAACACAGGAGAAAGAAGAAGAAGCATGTTGAGCATCTTCTAATTAAGTAATAAGTCCAACTTTACTTTAATAATTTTATCAATAATTTTATTGTGTTTTTGTTTGCATATGATCATCTGATTTTAATTATTCTCTTTAATAATTTGTGTTGCCTTTATGGCACTAGAATAAACCACTTTGATCATCTTGCTACTGAAATGTGCTACGTAAACAAACCTGCCATGCCTTACCAGCACAGCAGAGTGAGCTTGGGTCACCAGTGGAACACAACCGCTTCTAAAAGGAAATCCCCTAAAAATCTAAGGCAGTGTCTGTTTGTAGCGATTCCACTGTACTTTGTTGTTTTAAATGGTACACGCTGTTAAATGCTGTGTAAATTTGATAAAAACTGTTTGTTTGTTTTTTCTAAAGTCACTTAAAGGTTTTATATCAGACAACTTTAGCGACCTTAAGGGCAGATTATACTTCTGCATCCGCACAAATCAAATGTAACTTGCATCGGGTCACACGGCAGCTTTACTGGTATGCTTCTGCAATGTCGGTCTGGAATTTCTAGGGACGCACAGCAGTTTGCTGCTAAAGCGAGCAAGGGGGAGCCTATTCAAGAACTTGCTAGAACTTCGGCGGATGGTCAAGAGAACTTCTTCAGCAGCACCAGCAAGAGTGTTTATTTTCCAAAACAACATATGTCTGAGGCATTGTACAAGTGGTTGTACTTCCAAACCTCCTCGATCAACCTTTTGTCATGGTTGTCCATTGTTGTTATTACTCCTCGGTTTTTAAAAATGGCGCACCCTGGAATGACCACACAGACAGCCAGAAAGGTAAGGCATACCAAGGACCAATCACAGCTGGTTTTTGTCTGTGCACTTCCTCTTGAGGTCTGCACGGGTTTGTGACCGTCCGAACGTGTAGTCAGGATTTTTTTGAGGTGCGCAACGATGGTTACAGAGCCTCTGTGCGGGGGGGTGGACGCGCACAGAGACAAATTTGACGGTTGCAGAGGCTATACATCAAAAGTATAAATTGCCAGTATAAATCTGCCACTGTAACCGTTTGCATTACTTATTTAGAGTGAATTACTACTGGGCATTAGGGCCATTAAATGGATATGCAAACAATCAACAGCAAATGGCTGCATGGTTCTATGCCACCCTGTGCTCTTATCATAAAAACCATGCCTGGGTCTATCCACCATGCCTTACAGCACAGAAAAATGAATGCCACCTTTGGACAAGATGAAAATGTTTTCCTTCCCCTTGGGAGCAATAACAGGTTGAGGATCTTGCTCAGGGACCCAGGGTGGCAGTCTGTGGGAGTGGGGCTCGAACTCAGAACTCCCAGATTCCAAGCTCTATGCTCTAACCACTAGACCGCCATTCCTCCAGAACCAATACAGACTGGGTGATAACATTTCATTACTGCCCCCTCAGAGAAAGTGACAATAATGGGCAGTGTCTGATTCCAAGTGAACCTTGGAATTACCTATTTAGCATCAAAACCACATTGTAGGCAAACCAGGCCAACAACCCTGCACCTACAGAAGCTACAAAGAACTACCAACGCTTTATAGGTCCTCCGCAATGACTGACGGACATAAGACTCCAAACTCATCAGGGGCTACCAGCCCCCAACAGTGGCCACTCAGCGAGCCACACTACCATCCATCTGAGACAATAGGTCTCATTCCACTGGAAACCACTACAGCTCTGCTTCCAACACCAGAAGGAGCATTAAGAACCAGACCATTATGTGGCACAATGGAGCCAGTAAGAAAACTGTCCGAGACTCTGAATTCATTTGCTGGAGAGTGTGCAGTATCCATTGAAAATATTGGAATGCATAAAGCAGAACGCAACGTCAGATGCTGGCATCCATCTATCATTGAGAGTCGGGGTCTTCCAGGAAAAAACAAATAAAAACAATCAAAAGTTGTAATGGTAGAATCTTCAATGTTTTCCAGGCTAAGGACCCTCAAACTGATGGCGAGATGGAGCGGGGACCCCTAATTATATATATTGTATGAAATTGTGTTATATCAAACTGGTCCTATAGTCACTGTATTACAGATGGATTAATGTAACAAAAGTCATTTCTCCCTGGGATTATTAAAGTATTTCTTCTGATGGGACAGGTGTTGTGAATGAAACGGTGCCTAGCTTGAAAGAAATCCTATGTGTTGCTGAATGTGTGCATTGATGACTGAATCTTTTGCCTCCATTTTTGTGTTTATTGCAATGTGTTGGGGGAGGGGGGTTAAATATAAAAAAAATATATAACCAAATCTTTTGTGAGAAAAGAGATGCTACTTACATAAAGATGCTAAAAAACAAAATAACAACAGCTCACCTTACCCATTTCCTTATTGTCACTTATTGTTGTTCTTGAATTCTTCAATTTCTACCAACCTTTTCTTGACTATTTTACATGAATAAATAAAAGCAAAGTAAATTAATGTGGAGCTACAATTAAAAATAAATATGAAAAATTATTTCATGGTGTGAAAAAAATACTGACAGTACAAGGAAGTGTTGCATCATTTCCATGTTTCATTTTAAAACATTTTTATTGCCCATCCATTCTGAAGAAACTTAATCAATGATTTTCCTGAACTGACCTTAACTTGTGGCTTAAAGTGTCTTTCTCTAAACGTTGATTTACCAGGACATCCATCAGCACATTTTGGGTATCCAGTAAAACCTCTTTGTATCTCTCTGAGAAACAAGAAAAATGCAGGTTATTGGTGAAACTGCCAGTTGTATCGCTGCTGTGAGATTTCTACAGTCAAACAGCTCTCACCTAAATCCTTAAGATTTGTCAGAGGCAAGGTCAAAATTTCTGCTTGTTTCCAAGAAATATCTTGCAGAATCGCAGTGCAACTCAGAGCTGTAAATGGCTGAATAAAACCAAACAGGGTTCAGTAAACTGAGGCTGTAGTAATGATCTCAACAGAGGAAAGTCAGCAGTGATGTTTCTTCATGGAGTCAAAAGGATAGGGGAATGTTTTATAATATATATCTTATGAAATAACCACGATCACTGCAAAAAGTAATGTCCGATATCAGCTGAAAGTTTTGTATCAGTGTTTTCTATTTACCGCTATAGGTCATGGTTCCAGAAATATTTCTAAATCACAAGATATGGAGCTGATCTGTAAGATCTTCTGAAGATCATCACATGTGAGCTTCGTACTTTACAATCAAGGCTTTGTTCTTGTGTTCAAAGCCTTCCAAAGCACTTAAGGGCAAAATAAGCAGCAAAATAACAGAAATATAAAAAAACAACACACACATAAATTATAATGAAAAGGCATGACGTGATGCCAGCTGTCAATCAATCCTGGAGGCTTGATAGCAATGGACCAATCAACAGGCTTTTAGCTTGGAATATTTCATAGGGTTTACACCTTGGTGTATCTCTTTTTTAGGCTTTGTGCGGTGTAGGGGGGTCCAGGGGAAATTTAGACTCTCTGTTTCCTGCATTTTGAGGTGGAATGCAGCTGAAAGTTTTGTCTTTGTTACAACACTACTTCTGTCCTGATTATGCAGTTGAGTTCCACGATGTGCAAAAGGCTCCATTACTTTTATGCAGAAAGCTTTCAAGAGGCAAAGTTTTTCTCTTATTCAATGAGACATTGTTGAATGTTTAAACCTGAATGGGTACAAGACGCACATGACCCACGTACAGAGGCCTTAGTTCTCGACCCTGCCGACCCGGGTTCGAATCCTAACTGTGGTTCTTTGCCACATGTCTCTCCCCCTTTCTCATACTCCCTCTCCTGTCAGCCTACTGTCCAAAAAAAAAACAAAAAACGAGCCAATAGTGCCATACACACTCAAAAAATAAATAAATACATAAAAAAATATTTTATGCGATTCATTCCATAAATTATAAATTGATCAGTTTCATTTCCTCCACATGCCTTTATATCTGATAGAGGAGCCGGAGCATTTATTGTTATCAAGGTAAAACTGCCCAATTTATGGTGATATTGATTTAAGGTCATATCACCCAGTGTTAGCGTGTCCACCTTGGTATATCATATCATTTATGTTTTGCGTGTGTATGGTCCCCCCAGAAAATTTTGAAAAGTAGACTCTCTGAAATCCACCTGCCTTTTGAGGTGGAAAGCAGGTAACTTTTTGTGTTTGTAACAACACAACTTTTATCCTGATTATGGGAACTATCTGTGCTTGACTAGAAGTGGAATTTTCACAAGGAAGACATGAGATTATTTTCAGGTACAATTTTATGTTTTATAGGTTAATTCAAACAATCAGAAAGTTTAATGCCACGTTTGAGCAGCAAAAAAGCAGCTGCTGTTCCATTTTTGATGTTTGTACACATTAAAGTCAGACGCCCGTCAAAGGCATCCTTTGATGCTCCTGGAGCGTCCAGTAAAGTGTGTCCAGATGCATCTAATTCTTCTGCTGCTCCTGTGTTAAATGTTAGAAAGTTGCTTTGGTAGAGAGTAGCTTTGCTATATTTGCTGTGATCGGTGGGTAAAAAGTAGTGGTAAATAAAAAGTAGTTTTACTATATTTTTAAACAAATCCACCTCAAAACATCATCTGTTCACTCAGTTCCTCAAGATTAAAATCCTGCCTTAAAATATTATTTTACTGCCGGAGGTGCACTGTCACTGAGAATCCCCAGCGGTGGCTGCCTGAGACGTTGTCTCTTGGGATTTTTCCCCCACTGTTAGCGGCTGGAAGTAGATGTTAGCATTTTACAGGTATGTGGTAAAAACTGCAACACCAGAATAATAAAAGCAAACATATTTTTCCAGGAGATTTCCACATTTTAAGTTAAATTAGGCATTAATAAACGTTTGTTTTGTTTCAGAGGAGTGCTCAGAGCTTTCTGCATAAGCAGTACTGTGTCTGTCTCCCTGCCAGCTCGCAGATCAGCTTCTCTGATTCGTTGATGTGGTGCGTCGAGCAAAAAAAATTATATTGTTCCAACTCCAGCATCTGCTGCTTGTGAAATTTTGAACATTTGAGCAGAGTTTCCAGGGGGAAAACAGGACGTACAATTTTACATTTTTTCGGTAAAGGCAGAGCAATGTACGACCGTATGCACTGCTAGCTAAAAGCCTGCCAATCAGCGATCCTGATTTGCTCCAAGGTAACACTGCTGTTGCTCTCTATCTCTCTTTATCAACAGTCATCAGACAGGCCCAACCTGAAGTATTTAGGAGGTAGTGTACAGTTAATTATATTCCCAAAACCAAATAAGGAGTCTTAAAAATGTAAAAGGAGCAGCTGAAGACGACAGAAATACGACCTACTGGTTGATCATTTGCACAAAGTCAACAAACAGATCATTCTTTTTTTGTCATAATTACAGTATTTGTTTCTGTTTAGTGTGGGAAAAGCTTCCATTGGTTGCTTAATTTATTTAAACAAGTGTGGAAATAAACTAATCTAAGGCAATGTCCTGTCCTATTGGAGTAAATGTTGCCAATGCTGGTTTTCTAAATCCACAGACAATGCCCATCACTATAATTCACTGGAGTCCCAGAGCTATAGAAATTCTGTTCCTATCTGGACTGCTACATTTAGTTTCTGACATTTTCTGTGTCACTTTTGATAAAGTTAAGCCTACTTCATGTTGTCACAAAGGAACGATGGCCAAGTTAATTTAGAATAGATTGTAGGCCTAGGCAAAAAATTGATTCAAATAATTAATTTGAATTTTTTTGTTGCAGCAATAAAAAAAAAGAAAACAAAAAAGTATTTTTCTGTATAATAAAACAATTTTGGCTCCCCAGAGCTTTTAGCATCTTAAACAGAGGCATCCAGCTGAATATGAAAAATACCAGCCTCTCCAATGTGGAGAATCTAAGCCTTCTAAAGCCGGCCATACACTGTGCCATTTTTTGCCCTTTTCGGCCCGACTTTGCAGTCATGTGAGAATTTTCCGATTGAGCCAACTTTCAGCCTGATCGTGCATCGTGTAGTGTACGGGGGTAACGAGGGGCGACCAGCCTCTCACAACCACCTCCCGATCGGGAGTCGTGAGGTCAGGAGAAAATCAAACATGTTTGATTTTCAGTCGTGGGCAAATCGCTCAGTGCGCAAACAAGGATTCTTCTTCTTCTTACTCTCAGATGAAAACACAGAAGCATGCCGGGGGTGCGAGTGAAATAAGAGTTCTTTCTGTAAAATTGACAGACCGTAGTAGCCATGTTTGTTCAGCCATGTCTTTGTCCAAATACGTAGCCACCTTTGCTTTTTAGGGCTTTCAGCACAAAATTGCACAAATTGCCAAGGCAACTCGTTTCACTCTAGTGAGTTTCATATTTCTCTTCTACTCGTTTGGCTTCCAGATAGTCCGACTAGGGCCATCTCACTGCGGAGCTGAGTCCGACATGGTTTTTAGCTGTACAGTGTGAGAACAGACATAGCGAGCTTTGAACTCACACTATATGATGAAACCCTGCAAATTCGTCGTACAGTGTGAGCTGTAGCTGCGTGCAACAATTGAAAAAAATCACACAGTGTATGCCCGGATGTATAATATGTCTATATTGGTAAAAGTTTAACCAGTGTTATTTTCAAGCGCACTCCTGTGTTTAATGTAAATACACAAAACGTACCGCCGGCACTTGGTGAATGTTAAGAGGTTAATATGTAGGGGGGAAACCTGAAAAAAGATCTCGACTCGAATTAAAAATAAAAACAATCTAAACTAAACAAAAAGGGGTTTATTTCTGAAATTTGGAAACTAATTTGCAGAGATGGGGGATCTGGAGCCAATAAGTCATTTCTGTGGCCGTTTCTCCTTATGTGTACTTGTGAGTTCTCGTTTACTCGTGAAATATCATCAGCCTAAGCCCTAGTGCTGTTCCAATTCACAGAAACAGCAGACAGAAAACAGACAAAGTCCCTGGATGTTGTTCTCGCCCCGCCCTCTTTATCAAGTTTGCATTAGAGCAGACTTGTCCATTCTTGAGAGTGACAGCTGTCCCAACATGCACTGCAGCAGCAGCAGCTTTCCATGGAGCGCTCACAGAGCTCAAAGTATTAAGTTAAAAGTTCTCTTTTCTGTTGCTGTTGTTTATTAAAAGTACATTTTAAGATCATTTGCGGCGAGAACATAATACTTTTAAGTGTCACTATTAGGGATGCACGATATAATCGGCCCCCTATCGGTATCGGCCTTAAAACTGAATATCGGACTTCGACTGGAGATATCGGACTTCGGCCACCCCACCGATATTTAACCCGATATTTGATCAGCTTCTGAGTTTCTAAAGTCTAAAAAAAAAAAAAAAATACTACTTCTTCTTCTTCCTCAAAAACTTCTTTTTTACAGACTTAAAAACTTCTAAAGACGCGGGAAAAAATATTGATACATTAAAATATCCCAATATCTTCATATGCTGATATATTGCCATTTAAAAACACCATATCAATCTCTTTTACTAATGAAATATTGCTATATGTCATCGTTATGCTACGAAATCCCCCGAAAATTCACGAAATTTTGCCATATTTTTATATGTTGATATATTGACGCGGTATCGATCTATTTTACTAACAAAATCTCACAAGAATTTGCAAAATACACGAGAGTTTGTAACAGAACGATGAAATTTCACGATATTTGAAAGTAAAATAGATCGATACCGTGTTTTTAAAAATCTATTTGATATCAGCATATGAAAATATATTTGAGTATATTATTTTTCAAAGTGTCAGAAATGGATAAAACTGCTATTTTCAATGACTACTTATTTTTGTCCAGCTTTAACATCGGTATCGATATCGGTTATCGGCTACATGTTTTAAAATATCGGCAAATCGGATATCGGCCAAAATCCCAATATCGTGCATCCCTAGTCACTATATGGCCCATTTACTGATTTTGTGCGTCATAAAAAAAATAAAATAATCGAAAGTTGAGAGGACCGTGGCAACCAGTGGTCCTCCGAGGGTAACGGCAGCCTGGTCTACTCCTAGTCCGTCTGGAGCAGCCCTCTCTCGGCATAGCCGTGTGTGAAGGACCTCTGTTTCTGATGGCGAGTTTTTTGGTTAATTTGGCAAAATATTAATTTGATTTGTGTTTATCTGACTGTGTTCATTATTATTCCCCCACTAAATGAAAAAAGTCAGAATTTATAATCATCAAGAGACTATTAATAACAGGAGGTGAAATGCCGCTTCAGACTAGCCGAGTATGTGGTGATGTCACGAGTACGCTTCTGTTCCAATTGACCCATATTTATGCTGCGTGCTCCTATTCTCCACAAGTTCATACTTTCCTGTGTTCGCCTCAAGAACATACTTGGCGAGGACACAAGTCCGTACTCGTGTACTTATGGCTTAAGAAACGGCCTATTTCCTGAACATGTTCTGCCCAGCCACTGAACAGGGTGAGTTCTGTAGATCAAACTAACCTCTGCCGATCGGACTCACCAGATTCAGTGGCTAAGCAGAACAAATACATGACATAAAGATGACTTGTTGATCCCCCATCTCTGCTACTTTGTGTATTAACTGTTTTCGCAGAACTGTATTTGTTTAAGGTGCAGCTAAAAAAATCAGTGAAGGCCAAAAAAAGTATAGAAACACAGACACAGTTTAAATGAAACTAAATGGATGGGTCTCACTTTATCTCTGCCTTTGTTTTGTCTCAGCTGAACATCAGCAGGTTCTCTGCTTGCAGCACTTGCTTCCCTTGGATGAATGTCTGTAATGGAAGTAAAGCAGCAGTGCTGTATTGAAAAGCTGAAAGTTGAAGCAGTCCAACCCTCAAATTAATTTTTTTTCAAGCCTCCATTACATTTCTTTTCCTTCAGGTGCTCACCTGGTGCTCTACATGCTGCTGGTTCTCTGCAGGTCGAGGTTTGAAAACTACTAAGCAGGTTTCTCATTTCCTCCTCCTCAGCCATGTCAAAAGCACTAAGTCCACCAAGATTCTTGTCAGAGGGATTTGACCCATTCTCAAGGAGAACTTTCACAACCTAAACAACAGATACATGTTTTATACTTTCTATTGGAAATGTATATAGCATCTATTACAAAGAAATTTGTTTAATACAGAAAAACAGGATTTAAAACTCTGTGGCGCCATCTAGTGCAGCTGAGAATATTGCATCAAGATCTATCAGGTATTCCTCCACAGCTAAAAATGTCCTAAAACAACTCCAACAACATGCATATATTGTAGAATCAAAGAAAAATGTGGCCTTTCAGTAATGAGATATATCGGGTTCTCTGTATATGATCCCATTAACAGCATAAATGATGAATCCAGGCAAAAAACAAAGAACTTTTTTAAGGAGACAAATATTTAACCAAAATTCTTCTTACTGCCAGGAAAATAGCTATGACTAGAGAAAAAAAATGTAGCTACACAAGCTGAAGAGATTAAATACCAGAAGCAAAAAACAAGATGGAGAAACAAATCTACAAATAATTGAAGGAAAAAATTTTACATTATGAGATTTCTGCAGCAGTTCTAGTTTAAAATGGTTCCTCTGTCATTTGCTTTCACCTTTTTCCTTGTTTTTTTCTGCATAACAAAAAAAGAAAAAAAAAAAAATATATATATATATATATATATATATATATATATATATATATATATATTCTGTGCAGAAAAATGGAACAGAAGCAAAAACCTATTTGAAAACAATGAGAGAAACAGCCAAACAAAAAGGGTTAATTTTGGAGGAGCTGCAGAGATCCCACGCTCAGGTGAAGCTTAGTACAACTCTTAGTAGTGTAATACTTCATTTATGAGAAAGGTTGTTTCAGGCTGCCTGTGTATTATTTGATCTTTTGTAGTTTTCTCCATCACCTGATAGTGTCCAGCAGACACAGCATCATGCAGTGGTGTCACACCATCACAGGCCCTGGCGTTGATGTTGGCCCCGGCCCTCAGCAGCTCCTCAACCACAGACTTGTCTCCAGCAGTACACGCCTCATGCAGAGCGGTCCATCCTGACAAATCGAGTCAAGATATACAGACAGAATGACAATAAAGGAGAGATTCAGATGGAACGGATTAAAATGTTAGGACTGCCTAAAACCTGCATAATCCTCAATGTTGACGCCGACTCCAGCCTTAAGGAGCATCCTGACTTGAGCCAGATCACTTTTCTTGCACGCCTTGTGAAGAAGAGTCTCTCCCGTGCTGTATCTCTTGTTAAGCGTATGTTTTTTTGGAACTTTTGCTTTAAAAGAAAATCAAACGAAAAAAATTATCCCAAATAATCCTGGTAAACATGGAGCTGTATGGGTTTTCCAGCTCACCTGGCAGCGACGAGGAAGCGGCACAGCCTGCAGTAGGCGCTTGGCCTCTGTTGATCTCGGGTTTGTTTCTTTTCTGCCGGTTCAGCTCCAGCTTCTTTCTAATCTCTGTGTTTGCAGCGTGCGAACCTGAATTAGTCACAGCCATGTCCTCAGCAGCTGCTCTGCTTTGGGAAGCAGGAAGATCCTGCAGCAAACTGACAGAGTCCTGGTCTGAAAGCAACGTCTCTTCCTCCATCTCAGCCTCATTAGCAGGGTTGTTTACCTCTGCAGTGTTAGTAAAGGAAGACAAACAGAAGGCACAGTCTACGATAACAAGCTCATGTAGCTACCATCCTCTTTCAGTAAATTAAACATTGATATGTGCCACAGGAAATGGCAAAGATGTGTTTGGCTTGAACTTCTTTTAAAGAGACAACAGTACCAATAAATAATTATAAATAATGTCTCATGATTTTTAAAGTATTTTTCTGAGAAAACATTGACATTTATTTACTGTTCTATAGATTCATTAGCCAGAGTGATAAAAGCCTTTTCTTGTTTTAATTCTGATGATGAACAGATCATGAAAAGTCAATAAAAATGTATGTCTATACAGGAAGGCGGAAGTACATAAAATCAATCAAAGCTTGTCAATTCTTCTTAATCTATCAATCACTGTGAGACTCCAGAAAAGCTGTTTTTCAGTCAGCTGATATGTTTAACAACTGTTGCTCCGTTATAAATAACCCAACTTCCTTTGGAAACTAGCAGTTTCTCTTCCAAACAGCTCATGTTGAAGTTCTAAAGAGGCAAGCATTCATCAGAAACCTAGTAAATGCCTCACTTCTTTTCAAGAGTACATTTCTAAGATGAAGTCTTAAACGTTTCTTAAACCACCCACTAGGTGGCAGCACAATCTCAGGAAACTAAGAGCAGCTCAGGCTCTCTACATACGTATGAACTAGTGAACCGCTGCTCTAAGACCAACATTAAATGTCTACTACTTAAATAGTATTTTAAGAAAAAGTGCAACAAGGGTAATGACTAAAGCGATTAAAAGTGATGTTTTGTTGAGTATGCAGAACCAACATGATTAAATGAGCAGCTAACATACATCATCTTATGTACAAATCCGCTTTTTTATGTCATTTTGTTTAACATAAACAATAAAGGTCTTACGTCTGGGTTTAGGACCGTATTTAAGCAATACGTCAACTAAACCTTGAAAAGGACATGTTTTTTAGGAAATTGAGGCATTTTCTACACTCTTAAAATGCTAATAGCTCTTTGGCTAGCTGAAGTTTTTTAGCTAAGACGATTACCAAACAGCGGTCTGTTCGAAATTCGGGACAATACTTACCCAGTTTTTTTCCGAGACTGGTTCTAAATACATATCCGAAAAGTAACAACAGATTTAAAATGAGTGAATAAATAGAAATATTACAATAAATCCATTTAAATCCTGCCTTTTTTTCGCGCCATTACCTCGACTCAAAATGGCGGATAGTCACTTAACATAAAACAGTTAAGGCAACCAGAAGACAATTATTTTTTTTTTTTTTTTTTTTTTTTTTATGAATTACAAGATTAAATGAGTGTAAAACTATTACACTCATTAATTAAAATATTTAAATAATTTATTAGGCTACTTCACAATGTAATCTTAATTTGAAACAATATAGCAGTTATATCCATTTAAAATGTCAGACTAGGTTAGAATACACTTAAAGCTACAGTGTGTAATAATTACAGGGATATACAGTCAGAAATGTAATATATTATACATAACTATGTTATTTATCATCATCTA